TAATTTCTTAACTTCTCTGCCGCATTCGCTAGAATATTTACTCGTTTAATACTGTATAATTAGAAGAAGAGTATTACTGTAGCCATGATCACGAATTATGAAAGAAATCATAAAAATCGGTCCATCGCATTTTATTATAGAAATCTATTTTTAAGCTATTTGACAAGGGTTAATTCGGCATTAATACCACACCTATATAGAATCAGCCTTCTTACCCTCTAAACAAAGGTCGGCAACCTATGGAAGAATATGGAAGTTGGCCGATGACTGATGCCAGAGACTGCCACATAAATCTAGGGTGATAGCAGTATTGAAATTGGACATTTATTTCGTCAGGATGCGGAAAAGTGGAGAACATTTTCCATTGTCAATGGAAGAGACTGCATGAAGTGTGAGTTCCAGTGACGTATTAATTCGACGACGCCTTCCGCTCTGGGAGCATATTGACAGAGAAAATGCTTCCTGTTTACACATGGAAGAATGCGACCTCATTTCGATGGATCTGCCAGCACTCTTCAGGTGAGGACAAGGTTTTCAATTAAGCGGGTTGCTGGATCCAGTCGAAATTGGGTCCCGTTCTGCGAGGCCATTTCGTTGTGCATAGCCAAAGGGTTCTTTTAAACGCTTGAGTTAACGATGATGCGACCGCTGCTTTTTAGACATATCCGCTGAAACGATGCTGATGTATAATGCTTCTGACTCTTCTTAGTGACACAGGTACATTGAAGGATGGAATTCGACTTTCTTTCAGTGGAAATGTCTTCTAAAGGTCATACCGATTCGACGACAAGCAACAGTAGATGAATTCCATATTTCAGTAATTATGAGCACAAACAATATGGCAAAGAGACAAGTGTGTAAATGGCATGTGTCATATCTGCTATCAGGATTAACAAATACCTTCGAAACATCCAAAAGTTTCATTTTTTTGCTATTACTAATGATGTCTGTTGTCAATGTTGAAAAATCTCCATTCAACATTCATGAATACTGAATTCATGCATGTTTATTTTTACTTCTAACAGTAAAACTTCGGCCAAAATGATGTTCAAATAATAAAAAGTGTATTAAATTGATAAAGTTGTGTTTTGACTTTAAACTGGAACATTGCCATGTTAAAAACGAAGCATTATTTGTCTCGTATGATCCAATTTTTCACAAAAAACTTTTTCTCGATCATTTCGAATGTTAAATTACAGTTTTTTCTACTGCAAGTATAACCTGTTGGCTAGAAATGGGCGTTGATCATTTTGTTAGCCTTGTAGCAATAAATGAGGTAGTCGTTTTCACAAATGAGTTATAGCGCATTAACCTCAAAGGAGTGCCAGCTGTCGTGACCTAACAAAAGCACACAACGAACAATGCGCGAATATGAATACGTTGCTAACTCTTGAAATCAGCTCATTATATATACCAATTGGACAATAAATCATTACCTATACCGATGAAAATCAGAACTGAAGTTAAACAGGCACTACTTGAGCCACCTGCGGTTTGTGGACGATATTCGAATTTGTAAAGGTCACTAGTTGACTCTAAATAAGACTCCTAGAGCTGAACGACGCCGGCAGCAAAGTAGAGCTGAAAACGTACGCGAAGACGACCCAGGTCACATTTAACAAATACGAGACCCAAACGACCTGTTGAAGTTAACGGACTTCAAGAAGTGCAAAAATAAGTCTGTCTGAGACAGTTCTTCTTCGTAACGGAGAACAGACGATTCGAAATCGGCAGCAGAATAAAAATATCATTGGCCACGTTAGAAAGATTGAAAATGTTCTTATCCGGAAAGCTGCCCTTGTGCTTGAAATAGAAGTTTTCGATTAGTCTGTGCACCCAGTGCTAAACTATAAATGCGGAAATGGTCCATGAGCCTGAAAATCATTCGTAAACTACAGACCAACCAAGATGCAAGGAAATCTGTACATTGGAAAAAAACAAAAACAAATAAGGAGACGGAGAAATGGATAAAAGTTCAAGCAAGAGTCAACGACTTCATTGCAAGAGGGAAGAAGTTGAAGTGGCAATGGGCAATGCGAACTGCAAAAAGAGCCGTCAACTGCTGAATCAGAACGACGTTAGGCTGGGTTTTAAAGGACCGTGTACGATGTGTAAAAAAACCTCCAAATAAATGACCGGATGGGCTGAAGAAGAACCCAATAGAAGTCCAGTATAGTATGCATCCATTGGTCATTCTATATAAAACGAATCTGAATGAAAGGACATAACAGTTTATTAGCAAATACGGCATTAGAACTATATGACATTCCCAGGGTAGTGTATCGCCTCAACTGCACTTGCTGCAACACCTACAGTGGAGAAATTGAGTACAATTCAGAAACAGGATTGGAAGCATATGGACAGAGGTGACAAAGCCAGTAGAGCGAGAACAGAACGCAACATCGTAAAAAGCATATCATTCAATGTCAATCCGACAACATAATTCAAACAGAGACAATGTGGAGAAAAGGAAGATATTGGAAGCCGTAAGAACAAAGCCGATGTGGAACAAAGCAGCAACAAAATTAATAGGCGAGAAAA